TTTTCCAGTTATTTTATTAAACTTAACAGAGAAGTTAGGCAACTAACCTAGGCCTAGTGCAAGTAGAACTAGAATTGCAATGGACAGAATAAGGGTTAGAGACAGAAAAACTTGATTTGAGCCCCAGCCCTGCCACTAACTAGCTGAGTAACCTTAGATGTATCATTGCTTCCACGATTACTATGATGAACAAATGAGATAATCTATGTGCAATCCTATAACCTATTCTATAAATGTTTATTGTTATTATTAGGAATAAGGACTTTTGCCACTATGTCTGAAATGATTGCCCTAACAAGTCTTGGGCTCAATCCCCATCTAACTCCACCATAAATAATCATTTGTCACCTCACAATGATTGCTGTCATTTATTGTATCCTTAACATATATTGACCCAAGTAATTTTTCCAAAACCCTATGGGTCAATATTATTATTCTGTTTTCCAAATAAGAAAATTTCTTCCACAGAGGTTAAATAACTTGCCTTAAGTTACACTGTTAATAAGGAGTAACTGGAGGCTCTCTGGTCCTCGCGTTCGACAGACAGCCGCATCTTCTCGCGCAGCGCCAGCACCGTCTCCGAGACACCATGGTGAAAGTGAAGGCCGGAATAAACGGCTTTGGCCGTATTGGGCGCCTGGTCACCAGGGCTGCTTTTAACTCTGGCAAAGTGGACATTGTCGCCATCAATGACCCCTTCATTGACCTCAACTACATGGTCTACATGTTCCAGTACGACTCCACCCACGGCAAGTTCCATGGCACAGTCAAGGCGGAGAACAGGAAGCTTGTCATCAATGGCCATCCCATAACCATCTTCCAGGAGCGAGATCCCACCAAAATCAAATGGGGGGAAACGGGCGCCGATTACGTTGTGGAGTCCACCGGCGTCTTCGCCACCCTGGAGAAGGCCCGGGCTCACCTAGATGGGGGTGCCAAGAGGGTCATCATCTCCGCCCCCTCTGCTGACGCCCCCATGTTTGTGATGGGCGTGAACCACGACAAGTACCAAAACAACCTCACCATCGTCAGCAATGCCTCCTGCACCACCAACTGCTTAGCCCCCCTGGCCAAGGTCATCCATGACAACTTTGGCATCGTGGAGGGACTCATGACCACTGTCCATGCCGTCACTGCCACCCAGAAGACCGTGGATGGCCCGTCTGGGAAGATGTGGCATGATGGCCGTGGGGCTCTCCAGAACATCATTTCCGCATCGACTGGCACAGCCAAGGCCGTGGGCAAGGTCATCCCCGAGCTGAACGAGGAAGCTCACTGGCATGGCCTTCCGCGTCCCCACTGCCAACGTGTCGGTGGTGGACCTGACCTGCCGTCTGGAGAAGCCGGCCAAGTATGACGATATCAAGAAGGTGGTGAAGCAGGCGGCGGATGGCCCCGTCAAGGGCATCCTGGGCTACACTGAGCATCAGGTTGTCTCCTCCGACTTCAACAGTGACACCCACTCTTCCACCTTTGATGCTGGTGCTGGCATCACCCTCAATGACGACTTTGTAAAGCTCATTGCCTGGTATGACAATGAATTTGGCTACAGCAACAGGGTGGTGGACCTCATGGCCCACATGGCCACCAAGGAGTAAGAGCCCCGGACCACCAGCCCCAGACAGAGCACAGAGGAAGAGAGAGGCCTCAGCTGCTGGGGTGTCCCTGCCTACTCAGTCCCCACCTCCCTGAGAATCTCCCCTCCTCACAACATAGTTTCCATGCCAGAGCCCCTGAAGAATGCGAGGGGCCTAGGGAGCCCCACCTTGTCATGTACCATCAATAAAGTTCCCTGTACTCAGCCAAAAAAAAAAATAAGGAGTAACTGGAGATTCTAAAGCCCATTCTCCTAATAAGTGGGTGATATTGCCTCCCTAGATATGGCCAAGGCTGGTTAATTTGGCTTAATGATCCCTATACAATCTTTTTGGGGTACCATAATGCCAGCCTCCTTCCAAAAGCAAGAACCAAACCACAAGACTCCTGATTTTCAATATGGTTTGCCAGGTAAACATGCAAGAGTTTTTAAGTTAAATCTTTATGTTGTCATCAGTGTTCTTATGCATTAGATAACCTTATCAAATGAGAGAAATTAAATAAACATGTTTTTCTCAATGTTCCATATGAAAGGGAGGATCTCTAGAAAATGTCTAGATTTCCTCCAATTCTCTCTTTCTATGGATTTTTAGTTTTAGTTGTAGTGTTTGCTGCTGTTGTCTCCAGCCCAGCTTCCAAGTCTTACCATTTTACAGAAGTGGAGACCCCAAAGAGGGAAAGTGATTTTCCCAAAGTCCTACAGCTGGTGGCGAATCTGAGACTAGACTATATTTTTCTCCTGCCCAGGTCAGTGCCCTTCTGACAACATTGCATTGCCTCTTGAAGGAATATAATAATCACTTTTTACATTTAAGTACAATGTAGCTTTTTTATTTGGTATTCATTGACACCATGGCATCATAGCAGTGAGTCAATCTTGAAGCAAAACCCATGAACTCCTGACTCTTGAATAACAGATGCATTTACCAAAATGACTCATTTCCTGTGGGAGCTTAAAGGTAGAGCAAAAAGATTCAATTTTTAAATTTTTCTAAAACCAGAAAATAGCAATTCCAAAAGAGAGGTTAAGAATTTAGGGCTTACAGATAAATCTTTTAGAAAAAGATCTCTAAGAGCTGAACTATAAGGTAATTAAGTTCTTTTCTTACTTACTATACAAAAAATTCATCTTGTTTTATAAAAAAGTAAATTCTTAGCATTTAACACATGGAAAAGAAGATGCAGGTAAACATGATATTCCTTGTTCTGGCTCCATCTTGTTTCCATTACCCTTTTCCCTTTCTCCTTGTGGACTACAGGGCTGGGAAGAGTTATCCCTCAATAAGGAGAGAAATGGCTCTCCCTTATTGGCAAGTGGTTTTTCTACAAACGTGCAATGTCTAAGGAATCTTAGTCCAGTTCCACCAACAGTA